CAACACGCTGCGATTCAAAGTAAAAAAGAACTCAATTTTCAGTTAATAGTACTCAACCGTTATGCTTTCACCGTTGGGTAGTTTTAACTTAATTTTGGATGAAAATCATAGCAACCTGGGTTCCAAACGAAACAGGTGAGACCCAGTCTCTTTCATTCTCTGGCTGATTAAATGGATGACGTCACACTCCTTCAACCATTTAAACAGCGGGAGAACGAAAGGGATGATAAATTCAATGAGCCTTACATATTTACATCTCATTGATGGATTTTCAGTGCAGTTATGCGAGGCAACGATTGTTCGTATTTGACTAAGAGAAGAGGTGACAATACGGGGGCTAAAATGAACCACTTTTCTGTCAAACGTGAACCAGCTCCTGATTGGCCGATTTCATGTGCGTAAGATAGAGATAGAGATAGAGATAGAAATAAAAGAGGAAGAAGCCAATTGTCACCTCTTCCTCTTAGGTATTTGACAGTCACCTCCCTCAACACGCTATTTAAAAACTACCCGAATTTGGGTTGAACCCACCCAGATCGATCAAAACTGAACCTACCCAAAAATGGGTAAACTGTGTTGGGAGTGACAAGTTGACAAATGAACAACATTTACATAAATCTGATCGACGTTGTTCATTTGTCAACTTGTCACTACCAACACAGTTTACCCATTTTTGGGTAGGTCCAGTTTTGATCGATCTGGGTGGATTCAACCCAAATTTTGGTAGTTTTTAAACAGCGTGCAGCGCTAGAGCTATTCACGAAACCAAATTTTGTTCATTTAAATCAAAAATATATACCGTGCCGATTCAAATTTCGGACACTTAAACTCGAATTTCGGACACTTTTAAAAGTTGATTATCTCGGTCGAATATGATCCACATGTTTTGTAAATTTTAAATTTTTTTGACTAGTGCCTACCACGATCATCTAACATTATTACATTGTTTCTAACTGGATGTAATATTTAATTAAAAATGAAAGTGTCCGAAATTTTAATCGTCCGAAATTTGAATCGGAACGGTATGTTCATTCAAAGTAAATTGAAAACACGTTTTCAACAAAAATATGTATGTTTGAATTAACTTCAAAAGCATGTTTATTTCAACAATACATAATCTGGGTAAACAACCTTCAGCGTGTCCTTTTTTCCTTGTTGTTTACCTAAGAGGAAGAGGTGATAATTGGCTTCTTCCTCTTTTATTTCTATCTCTATCTCTATCTTTATCTATCTCTATCTCTATCTTACGCACATGAAATCGACCAATCAGGAGCTGGTTCACGTTTGACAGAAAAGTGGTTCATTTTCGCCCCCGTATTGTCACCTCTTCTCTTAGTTGTTTACATTCGGCAAACTCAACCGAAAACGGACTGCAAGCGGCGAAACCGATGTAGATGGTGCGGAAACCCACGCAAGTAAGTGTTCCAAGCTCGACAAAACCAGTGGAACCCCACAATATCAACGTCACTCCGTCGTTTCTGATGCCGATCCCCATATCATCCTCACCCCCACCCGACGTCAATAGAAAAAGCATAAAATATATTATAATCCCCCAACACCAAACGTAGAAAGACGCCGGTCTGAGGACCAGCGTCAGAAACGACAAACCGACGCGAATATCACAAAGTTTCACCGGTCTTACTGAACTGGAACCCCCGGACACCCACTCCGACGGCCCCCCGGATCTTGGACCCAGATCCCAACACCTATAGACCACCCTTAATCGCATCGAAAAATAGCAGGAATATAGATGCCCTGTCTGCCGATTTCCATTTATTTGCGATCCATTTTAAATATTTTGTTTTATCCCGCATTCAAATGCTAAAATAATTTCAAAATATTTTTTTATTTTATTTTAATAATGAAAAGCATGTTTAAAATAAACATATTTATTTTTGATCACATATAGCTGTCAAATCAACCAAAAATATTCATACGTTTATTTTCAACACGAATATTTTTAAAATAAACGTTACAATATTTTTGTTTAAACATTATTGACAATGGATTCAAACATGGAATACGTTTAAATTAAACTTGATTATGTTTGTGGCCAGAACAAACTGAGTTTACGTTTAAATTTACCTCAAATTTAGATAGAGCTGGAATTAGGGCGTAACAGCTTTTGTAAACAACTCAAGGCACGCCCACACAGGCCAACATAACCATCGGATAGGGGAAGTCTTTCCCTACCTAATGAGGATGTTTGTTTGCGGGGGCGAGCCTTGAATTTCTAGAAATAATTGATAGAATTCATTGTTTACAAAAACTGTTAGGCCCTAATTCCAGTTCTATCTAGAAATATGTTTGATTCGACCGAGGGGGACGACTCTATCTACGATGCAGAAAAGATTGTGTTTTGCTGTGGCTAGCTGCGCGCACGCTGAGTAGATAGAAAGAGGATTGATGACTATTCTGAAGATTTCCTGCAAAAAGATGATTCGCGATGCAAGTAGATGCGACAAATGAAAGAAGATTTTTCGAAGATTGATTCGCTAGTGTGAGATTTGTTGAGCATCTAAATTTGAGATTTAGATGTGTCGCCCCCCTCGGTTTCGACGGTAAATTTTTCTGCCAGTTCCACAGCTGCAGAAGGTATAGAGATTTTCACACCTGGTTGTATTGGTGCGCTGTGTGAAACTGTGGCAGTGAAAATCCGAGGAAATTACATAACAAACCTCTGCCAATCAGATTATGACTGATCGAATTTTAAAAATAAATACAAGAAAATACATAACAAATCGATGTCAAACTCATTTTGACAGATCTGCTTTCATACATTTTGAGGTAAGCCCGAGGAAAATAATAAACAACTTTACACGGCGATAGACCCCGTTAATGTGCGTGCGTTAAACGCCGTGCCGTGGATTTTGCTCCACCCTTTTTTTTTTCTTTTTTTTTTATACAGGGGGGAATTTGCTCCCAGACTCCTGAGAAGATAACTTAGGGTGTGGGGATGGGAGAAATAGCTCTCCCGACCTACTAAACCTTACCCTGTGCTCTAGGCCCTTGCCCTCCCCGGAACCGCCCGAAAGCATTACGTCATGGGAGGGGCCGGTTGCGCTATGGCGCATCACTAGGTGTTGTGTCCGACGTGACACTCGCTACTGCACAGTGAACAGCTGTGCAGGGCCTTCCTCTTGTTGTTCGCTGTTCGTTGTTCGCCCGAGTTCTAGAGCAGACGTGATAGCCAGCCAACTGTCCAACAGGGCAGCTTAGGACAGATGTGACCGCTTACCAGCTGCGTGTGCTAAGCACTCTAAGAACCCGGCGTCACTCCTGCCTTTGCACAACGAGGGTTTGTGCAGGGCTTCTCAACCTCCTGGGACGAGCTGGATGGGGTTCCAGCGTCCCTACTCTGCGGTAGTTCGTTTAGCCGCAATATCTCTCCCTTGGGTTCGATAATTAGCGTTTCCAGGGCACACCACGAGGAGGCGAACTACTTCATGCACCATGCTCTACCCTACCTGACGTTTAACGCACGCACACTAGCGGGAGCAACGCCGTGTAAAATTATTTATTATTTTCCTCTGGCTAACCTAAAAAATGTATGAAAGCAGATCTGTCAAAATGAGTTTGACATCGATTTGTTATGTATTTTCCTCGGATATTGACTAACACGCTCTCATATATCCTACCAATACAACCAGACGTGAAAACCTCTATAAGCAAGTCAAGCGCGCACTTTTTTGCCTGTGGATTTGAAGACATAGGGTTAACTACCACATGTTCGGCCTATTAAGCTCAACTTAGGATTTCTTATTCTAGCGCAGTTAAGAACCAAACGGAATGTTATTATTACTGATGGCTTCCAAATTTATTTACCTTTCGGGACATACCGTAAGATTTGATAAAGAGAAACCAATCGTTGAGATATTATCAAAAGTCTAATACTGCTTCTTGACGCCAAACTCGGCCTACGGATTCTAAACTCGACCTTTGAACGCCATTGAAACGCCAATGAATTCACTTCGGCCCATCGGATGAATATAAAAATTGATATTAGAACTAATGTTTAGAGTGAGGTGCCCCTAGTTGGCGAATAATTTCAAGAGTGAGCTTTAAGTTTTTTAGATTTTCCGAACATTCTGGGTCGGACCTTGCATCAGAAAGATATGAGAAGCTTCATTTGTCAACATGGGAAAGGTTTGAGTTATTCTGATGAAAGCAAATATGTCTTCCCCAAAGATTAACGGAAATACACACTTAGTTTTTTTCTACCGAGCTCGGCTGTGCAAATCTCGGCAAAAAAAGTTTTACTGAGATCTCAGCAAACATTTCATTTGTTTGCTGAGATTCAGCTAAGCATTATCCGAGGCTCCGCAATCAAATGTCACTTTTGCTGAGATCTCAGTGAAACTTATTTTTGCCGAGTTAAATAATAATGATTTCGGTTCATCCAATTTACCTTTATGACCACTTTGTCGGCAAGTTAAATAACAAAAAACTTATCACGGTATAGTTCCACTTTGTACTTTACACGTTGAAAACATTAACCTATGTCATCGTCCCCATCATCATCATAATTGTGGTTGTCACCGTTTTTGTATACGCAAAGATCTCAATTACGAAGGCAGGTGGTAATAACCCTCTGAATTGTGCCTTTAAAAAAAAAAGCCAAGTCAGACGCACTTTTTTCCCGGATACTGGCTAATAGCCTGTGCGTCCATATAAGTATCCATACAAAAAAAAAAAGCGTTCATCAGAATAATAATAAACAAGAGAAGGTTAAGAACTTCTTAGACATGGACCGTCTAGTGGTGGTCAAGACCGGAACGGGTAGCGTGTGCCATACCTTGTTGTTTGGACGTATGTATGTTGTTTATCTTGCGGGTGGTCAGCAACCAACGGCGACCTTGAACTTGCGCTGCTCAATCGACATGTGCTTAGAAGCATGTGTGTTCGTATGTCTAATTGGCTCAGCAATGCTTATTGCTTACTTAGCGGATAAAAAATAACGGTCGGTGTTTGATATGTGCATATTTTTGTTTTGCTTTCAGCTTCGCTCGGAAGACGTGGTACGTGCCTACATCGATCGAATCCGGGAAGTGAACCCACTGATCAATGCAGTCGTGGAGGAACGCTTTGCCACTGCCATCGAGGAGGCCAAAAAGGCCGACCAAATGATTACCAACATGCAAACGATTTGGCTTATCAAAACCTATCCCCTGTTGGGGGTTCCGTTTACGGTGAAGGAAAGCTGTGCGCTGAAGGGTGAGGCTCTTATCAACGCTGACGTTATGGCGTGGTAGCATTGACCTAAATCCCACTAGGTTATCGGGGAATGCATTGCGATGGTTTATTCTGTTTTGCCTTTTGCAGGTGCCCTATTCACCGGAGGCTCACTGCCCCGTCAGGGAGTCCGAGCGAGCCGCGACGGAGAAGCGGTGGCACTGCTGAAAGCAGCCGGATGTATTCCCCTGTTGGTGTCCAACACGCCAGAATACTGCCTCAGCTGGGAATCGTACAATCACATCACGGGCCGAACGCTGAATCCCTACGACAATCGGCGGACGGCCGGTGGTTCTTCCGGAGGGGAAGGTGCTCTGATTGCTGCCGGTGCTTCGCTGTTCGGCGTGGGAAGCGACGTAGCCGGGTCGATCCGTGTGCCCGCACTGTTCAATGGGATCTTCGGACACAAACCAACGGCCGGTGAGTTTTGTTCTGCGATAGAGAAATAGGGTTATCAACTTTGTTTTTTCCTTGATTTGTTTTCCGTCGATCTGGTTTTCCGTGCTGAGCACCAATGCTACCGACGCCTATCGACCCATCAAACTCATGAACCGGGGACCAACGGCTTTACTTCCCTTCCGAAGGCAGGCGTGATCAGAGATGTTATGCCTCAGAACATCCCGGCGGCGCCGACTGGGATTGAACCCAGGCCTGCTGGGGTGAGAGGTAATCACGCTTACCGCAACCGGGGGGTTGTTTTGCTTTCTACTTTCTGTCTTCGGCAGAACGTAATTTCCTTTATCATTGCTTGATAACGCGTAGGCATTATTCGCCGTTTACAGTCAGTCAATAAACTTTCAATCTTTTTGACCGCTAGTGGGAATGTTTGATTAACCCATTAACGCCCGAATTATTTCACATTTATAATAAACACGTGTTTTTTTCTGGAGCACTGATTGATATAGTGTAAGATTTCCAAGATGGCGTCGGACATCGATTTCTACGCTCTAGATTTCACCCTGATTCCAAAAATACCCTCATTGATCGGTATTTGACAGTATTTTTAACACTTTTTCTGAACCGAAGCCGTCATCTAAGATTTAAAATGGCGTCGGACATCGGTTTCTGGCCTCTACACGAAACGAAAATCAATTATTTTATTCATGTGTTTCACTTATACATTTTTGCCAAATATCAGCCTCATACATTCCATAACCCTAAGAAACAAATACCATAAACGAACTGTATCCCGGATGGGTCAGTGCTTTTACGAACATAATCTATCTATATATCTAGATAGAGCTGGAATTAGGGCCTAACAGCTTTTGTAAACAATGCCTTCTCTTGATGATTTCTAGAAATTTAAGGCTCGCCCACGCAAACCAACATCCTCGTCGGGTAGGGAAAGGCTTCCCCTATCAGATGGTTTGGTTGGTCTGCGTGGACGTGCCTTGAATTCCTAGAAATCTCGCGTAACATTTGAATAGGGCCTATGATCAAAATGTAAACAAACCGATTTTTGATACCATTCTGTAGCACTGGTAATTAGCTACCAGTCGTTTAGGAATGTTCCGCATTATCGATAAAAATCATTAAAAATAACTTGATTTTAAAAACGGCCGATCCACGAAATTTTTCCAATCATTCATGCTAAAACGGCCTAACCTCGGGCCTAACATATATTTTTTTTCGTTCGATGAGGTTCCATTCATAAGCCTAGCGACGTAGAAGGGCCGATGATTGAAAAATTTCAAATCAAAGCTAGGCCCTACTGCTTGAGGCAGGGCCGATGATTTATTTGACGTTAAGAAAAGGCTTAACAAAGGGCCTACAATTTATGATGACAAGCACAACGGCTTAACAAAAAGGGCTTAACCATTTAAAGATTCACAAAAAGGCTTATTACTGTGATATTAAATTTTTATCGATTTTCATGTATTTTTGAAAACGTTTCGCATGTTTTGGATGTTGTGTACTGAGATATAGTTACTATTGTTATTGTGAACAATATAAATGCCTAAAATACTTCAATTTATTTATATAGGAATTAAACACTGGCGGAAAAATTTACAATTCATTTTCTGGATTGTTTACATTTTGGACATAGGCCCTTTTCAAATGTTACGCGAGAAATCATCGATAGAAGTCATTGTTTACAAAAGCTTTTAGGCCCTAATTTCAGCTCTATCTAGATATATAAAAATGAATTTCTGTCTGTCTGTCTGACCCAGCGTTGCCAGATATACCGATTTATCGGTATTTATACCGATTTCCGAACTAGATACCGATATACAGATAAGGTTCCTCAGAATACCGATTTTTGAAGTGTTATACCGATTTATACCGATTTTTAAATAATCAAAATAATTATTTCCTGTCTGCACTCAGGATTTCGGAGGAAATTATTGTGTGAGACTTGTATCTTTTTGAATATCTCAAATTTTTAGAGTCTTTAAAAAATCATCTTCAAAAATGTCTCATGGATACTCTTTCGATTAATGTTTCGATTTTCTCACCGTTTTTGGCTACCCATGAATCGATAAACAGTCAATGGCTCTTTCTGGTAATTTCGGGGGAATCAGGAAATAAAACATTTTTAAACATTATTTAACTTCCTTTCGGAAACTTATTTTGACTTCCCTTAGAAGCTTCTTCAGCCTTCGCTCGAATGATTCTTCCCGGAGCTTCAGGGATGCTTCTAGATTACGATTGCGGATCCACACTAGCTGCAGGAACTTTTAAACTTTAGAAAACACCGGAGCCGAACCAGTCTCAGGCTGAAAGCATCCATAATAAAGAAAACTAACTAACTTCAGAAAAGGCCAGACTTTTAAGTAAGTTTTGATAAAATAAAGAATGTTTCAATAACTTCTGTTAAAATTCTTAAACTCGGTCCAGCGAGCTACAGTGATCTTAAGGAAACATCATAAATATTTTGTATACTTCACAAGCCCAAAGAACGTCTGGAAATTAATTCAATGGTTTTCGGGACAGTTCCATTAGCATTGAGAGAATTGAGAGAACTTTGGGAATCTCCGAAAACATCAGGAAAATCAGATCAGATCAATAATTTCAAAGAAATCGCTGAAATTTTAAAGAAGTTCCCAGAAACTCAGGCAATTTCCGAATATTCAGCAATGTTCCGAGGGGCTCATGCAAATTTAAGAAACGTGAGGGAAGTTACACGAACATTAGCACATTGTGAGAACATTTTATGGGAAGTTCCGTGCTTATTAATGGCAGTGTCGATAACTTTTAAATATTAGAAAAATCGGGAAGATCAGAGAACTTCAATGCTGATGTTACAATAAATTCAAGAAAATTGTGAGAGCGCTTAAAAAATTTTGCAATCTTCAAGAAAGTCTAGAGACCTTTAAAGTTAATTAGTGATATTCCGGTAGTCTCATCATAATCAGGGAAGTTCCAAGTATTTCAAAGATGATCAGAGTACTCCAAAACAGCTCGAGAACATATGGAGTAATCCTAAGTACATTTCAGGAATGTTCCAAAAACTTCAGGGCATTGCGGGGTCTTTAGGGATGTTTTATGACCATTTGGAAAATTTTCTGGATCATTAGCACATCCCACAAGGGCTCTTTCTTCCGAAATTTTGTCTTTGTTTCTTTCGACTGTTCCGTTAGCGCTCAGGCTTCCGACTTCCTCCAGAATTATTTTTTCCAATCTACATGCCAGCGTCTCTAGGAAGTTTCTTCTGTCTTCTCCAGGAACTTCATTTAAACATCTCCCAGAAATTTCTTTCGTCTAGTTCTGGAATTTTGTCCAGTTGGTTTTTTTTTACTTCTATTGGAAGGTTTTTCCGAGCTTCTTCTGGCTTCCCTTGGAAAAGGCTACTTCTGAAATTTATTTAAAATTTCCGAAATCTAAATGTGAAATTTGATTTTTTTTTTTTTCTGAAAATTTCTTTAAATTTTCGCCAGAAGTTTCTCAATTTATGCCTTGGAAGATCCGTAGATGTTTTTCCGACTTCTCTCAGAACTTTTCTCCAGGAGAGCTTATTTCTTCTATGGATGTTTTTTCAGCTTCCTCCAGAAGCTTATTCAAACATTCACCGGAGTTTTCTTCCAGAATTTTCCGATCATAGTCCAAAAGTAAAAAATGTCGCTTTCAAAAACGGCAAAAATATAAAATTATTTAAAATAGTAAATACCGATAAATACCGATTTTTTAAAACCTTCGATACCGATAAGCTTTAAAACATTCTGGCAACGCTGTCTGACCCTTATCGACTCGGAAACTACTGAACCGATTGGCTTGAAAATTGCATGGGTTTTTAGGGCCGAGAAAGGTTCTTATGATGGTTCGATACCCCTCCCCCCTCTGTAAGGGCGGGCTCCCATACAAATGAAACAGAAATTTCTGCATAACTCGAGAACTAATCAAGCAAATGGAACCAAATTTGGCATGTGGAGGTATAAAGAGATGTTCATAGGGGGTAGCCTCTTAGATAAGAAAGGGGGGGTACGTACAATATAGTATGCTTATTCGGCACATACACTCAAACTTATATTGAATCCCGAGCAAGGCCGGGCACTCAGCTAGTTTTATATAGTTTTGTAGTTTTGTTTATCTCCTCCTCCTCGGTGGTTTATACGAATCGTACAAATGCAAATACTTTCGACTGTGATGCTAACAGCTTGACAACTCTTTACTGGGTGTCTAGTTGCTGTTTTTCCAGTAAAACCTTTTTGTTGCTGATCATGATCCAGCAAACCGTTTAACTGATAATGAAAACTAAAATTTGATGTGTAGTAGAAATACTCAGAGGGAGAGATGGGCGGAGAGAATGTTTTGAGCCAAATGAACTGTCAAAATCTGAGCCAATCGAACATTCCCATTTGAATTTTTCCGAGGATTTCTTATTCTTATGAGATTCAATTTGAGAGTATTGCAATCGAACAGAAATTCAATCACCTTTATGTTTTGTGTGCTTCTCAAATTCAACTAGTTTTTGTAACCAAAAACAATATTCTAACTCTATTGATTAATTAATGTTAGTTCGTTAAAAATATTATTTTGCACGTAAATCAAATCAAAAGTAAAAGTAATGTGAAATGCTAGCTTCTAGCAAGGGTTGCAAGATAATTTAGGTACAAATTCCTGCTGCCGAATTGTATTTTGTTTTCTCCGCCTATCTCTCCCTCTGAGTATTTCTAGTCTAAAGTATAGTCGCTATAGTCTGGCGGATAGAATCTCGGAAACCAATTGAGCTGTCAAATAGCGGAACCAATCGAGCAAATCATGACCAACCACAGAAAAGAGCACATCAGCTATTGCGAACAAAACTTCGGAAACCCTTTTCTCGTGACTCAACGCTCTCTTACATAAACTAACACCATCTTTGGGTTGAGGAAAGTTTCCGCTATCCGATGATGCCGGTAAGTTGCGTTCGATTGGCGAGGAAAGAATAATCAACGTTTTGTTTATAACAGTTGATAGTACCTTTTCAATTGTTGGTCTAC